TTTTGGGTGGTTTTTGAAATATTTATAGTCCAGTGGAAGGTCCCAATTACCGTAAACGAGATTCGAACTTTCCCAGGAGGTTTACCCTGGGTTCCACACCAATGACAGAGACATTGGCTCTGGGCCAAAGCGCCACTGAAAAAACATGTTTTTTCTAAAAAAAATTCTGAAAAAAAAAAATTCTGAATTTTTCTAAAAATTCCTAAATATCTTTAAAAAAATATTTCAGAAAATTTTTTTTTGGAATTTTTTTTTCTAAAAATGTTCTTAAAAGTTTATTTTCTACAAATGTCCTGAAAAAAATTTTTTTTTATAAAAATTTTTTTTATATAAATCTTGAATAGCATGTCATTTTTGGTTAGATATTGAAAAATGATGACATTTTGGCAATTTCATTTAATTTTGTCTTAGAGCATGTTCAGAATTTTTTAGAAAAAAGTTAGCATGTTATTTAGGGTTTTTCCAAGTTTTGTCATTCCATTACTTTGGGTTTTTTTTTTTAAGTTTTTCAGCAAATGGTTAAAATTTAGAAATAATATACCTTAATGGTACTTTAACCATTCATGCTTTAAAGCAATTGTTAAACACATTAAGCTTAACACGTCTAGAAACCATTCACGGCCATATAAAGAAAAACCCAAAGTAAACCCAAAGTTTAATCTTTGCACATTTGCATGAGGGTTTGTTTTGGTTTTTTTGTTTTGGTTTTTTTTCCTTTCCAATGCTATAAAAATCCTTTGTGAATGTATATGAATTTTTCAGGTTTTAAAAGTAACATTTGTTTTTTTACAGTTACAGGTTAGCCCTCAATAAAGTTAACAATTTGGAGGTTTTTTATATTTATATATATTTTTTATTTATTTATGCCACATATACTGAGAAACTTGGTCGGTTTAAAAACATTTCCACCCAGGTTTGATCACTCACAGTTCTTCAAATACACCACACTAATTATGCTTAGCATTAAACAAATCAAATTGTTTTTCTTCCAGCAGGCTAATGGAAGTGTTGAGCAGTGTCTTTTCATCATCTACAAACTTGTACCCGAACAGTTCCATGGTCGGTCCACACACTTTCTGCACCAACTGAACCACAGGTAAGGGAATGTTCACTCTCCATTTATCTATCTGCTCTGATGCGTTTCTCTTGGTGGAGTAAGCGCCGCTGTGTTGATCTGTGGACTGTGTGTTAGCCAGAATCCACTCCCGCACTTGTGGACTGAATGGTATTCCAGCGAACGTCAACATTTCTTCTGCCTTCTTCACAGGATCACGTGCAACGTCCTCATAACGTACCAACATGTAGTTGTTCTTCAGCCAGGGAGGTCGACTCAGGGCCATTTCTGCAGACGCTCTAATTTTGTCACAGTTTCCTTTGAGTATCTTCACCTCAGTTTTATTTTCACTCTCCTCTCCATACTCCGCCAATGCCTTCAACGCCTTGTAACCTGAGAAAAAGGTCACCATGTTGGAGATTAACAGTGACCGGGGATCTCTCACCAGCTGGATAATTTTTAGGTCCAGATGAGGATCCTCCACCAAGGGCCTCAATGTGTCCAGCTGCTCCACACGGACAGTCTTAATCACCACGTTCTTCTTAGATCGGCACGATTCAGATGCCAGGGTCAGGTTCAGTGGCCCACAGTGCCTCATCTTGCAGGGGAAACTAATAAACGAAAGAGTTTATTCACAAGACTCATAGAAAAGTGGCAGAACCTGATCTCACCATCCAAGATTTAAGGTGTGTCACATCTGTACAGTACCTGACAATAACCATTTTAGAAATGCAATTTTTAAGCAATGGATACTCGTGTGTAGTAGCAAAATGTATGTGTGTTAAGTGAGAGAAAAACATTCTATTAATAACAGATAAAGCTACAGTTCTGCAACATTGTGGAACCAATTGTTCTCACTGTTTAAAATGAATAAAAATAACTATCTAGATCTTTAAAGAGAAATAAGAATACCTTTGGAAATCACGTTTAACTTGAGGAGTGCAAACAGGATCTGAACACAGTGAGTAACTTGACACTCTGCGAAAAAGAACTTGGGTGATGTGGTCCACAGGTGTGGGCTTAATGAACTTCTCCATAGGAGAGAAATCACAGTGGAAGAGTCCTTGAAGTACGTCCTGGAAGGATTTCCTCATGAACCAGTTAATTTGATCTGACAGTAAGGAATACCTGTTAATGACATGCCACAGAGGCTCAAACAGATAAAACATGTTCTCCTTCTCCTGGTTGAAGAACTCCCCCACAAATGAGGAGCCTGTTCGTGTGGTGGCCATTATTATTACATGCCTACGACCACCGTTCTGCATGTCTGGACTTTCTGTTTTATTCTCCACCTGTCCTTTAGAAATAGTGTCTTTATATCATTATCATCTATGTCCACTTGCTTGTCCTGAGCCCAGGCTTTTATTGCGTGGTACATATATGAGAAGGCTACAATCCGGGATGCTAAGATAGCTCGGGGATCTCGGACCAGCTGGATTATTTTTAGGTTCAGTTGAGGAACTTCCATTAAAGGTTTCAATGTGTCCAGCTGGTGAACACGGACAGTTTTAATCACCACATTCTGCCAAGACTTACACAATTCAGATGCCAGGGTGAGGTTCAGTGGCCCACAGCGCGGCTTGCAAGGAAACCTGAAAAAACAAACAAACAAGAGGCATCATTTACAAACAGTAATAAAAATAATAATAATTTAATGAGAAACGTTGGTCCAAGTCTCCAGGATTCAAGAAGAGAAATGGGAGAGCACAAATGACCACACTTATTGAGAAAATAATCATTTTGACAATATCAGAGATAAAGACAATGTGAGAAACTGAGGATTACTGGTCATTTTAAAAATTGAGGTGTTGTCAGTTGAATAACCAATTAAAAAGACACTCCTCATTACAACATTTAAGATGCAAGATCTGCAATTTAATTTATTTCTAAATTTAAATTTCAAAGTTACAACTGTATGTCCTGACTGTGTAAAAATGGGAAAGAATTAACTGTTTAGAGAAATGGGGAAAAAAAACTTTACCTTTCCAAAACACCTTGAACCAGAGGATGACAAATTGATTCTTCACACAGTGCATAACTCGCCGATCTGCGAAAAAGAACTGAGGTCACATGGTTCTTAGGTGGGGGACTGATGAACTTCTCCAGAGCAGAAAAATTACATTGAAAGAGTCCTTGAAGTACATCCTGGAAACAGTCCATCCTGGTCTTGTTGGTTAACTCAGAGGAATACTTGCTGTTGACGTGCCACAGAGGTTCATACAAATAGAACATGTCCCCTTTCTGCTGGTTGAAGAACTCCCCCACAAATGAGGAACCTGTTCGTGTGAGGGCCATGAGCAGTACATGCCTTCGAGCACCAATCTGCAGGTCTGAATTATTGTTCTTGTTCTCTTCCTGTTCAGCGGTAACGGTCGAGTCGGTCACTTTTGTGACATTGCCACTGAGCGTTGTAGTGCATTGATCAAGTGGATTAGCATTAAGAAATGTCTTCACATGGATTATTGTCTTTGATACTCTGGAAAAGAGAAAAAAACAGTCGAGATTAGGAAGTTTTATGTTAACACTTTGTTAACGTTCAACTTGAACTTATCTTCTTAGCCAACACCAAAATGTTTGTGCCAAAAAAAGCATATCAAATTATTGCTCATAATTTCCTTAACCTTTTGAAGGACTTTTTTGTGAGGCCTTTTTTATCAGCAATTTAAATTTTTTACCTTGACAAAATGGAGCTTTCCTTAAGGATGAGGACCACGGTAACGGTACAGATCAGGACAATGGGATAAAGAGTCTTCATTCTTCTGGTGTTGTGATTGGTCATCTGTTTCAGTCTAGGCTTTGGTCGTATCTTGTTAAGTGGAGGCTGACTCTCTATCCTGTAATTAAAAAGTGTTGCCATCCAGATGTTAAAAAAAGATTCAAACAAATAATTCACCATTTTTTGTATGATGTCTTGTACAAAGTGCAGATCTGAGTATAATGCTGAATAAGCAACTACAGCTTCTCTTCTTCTCTCATCAGACACAGTACTCCATACATCTGCTCCACAGACACTCGTTACAGCCAACTCACCTGACATGACTAACCCAGTGTCACAGCCCATGTCTGCAAGTAAGTAAACACAGACTTAAATACCACGGGAAAGAGGTGTGTATCATCCGGGCTTCCAACATTTAGTTTATTCGTTACACATTTAGTTTATTCTCCAGCAGCCAGTTATAAAACACACATGGGTGTAGGATACACCCAAGTGCTTGGTTTTCTTCTGTGTAATTCTGTTTGGCAGATTATATTTGCATGTGAAGACAGAGAACAGAAGTTGAATCCACTGCATCACCACATGTCATGACCAGGAGAATCATCAAATGGCACGATGTACGCAACACCACTGACAAAATGCCACATCGTTTTCCATTGTTGTCACTTTAGTAACAAAGCCTGGTGCTGTGGGAGAATCCAGCTATTTGATAACAGCTGTGTCCAATGGCAAAAGCCCACGATTTTAAATTTGTGCTTTTGTTTAACAGTGGATTGTAATGTCTCATGTCGCTAAATTAATTCAATTTTCAGTTCAATTCAATTCAATTTTATTTGTAGAGCACATTTCATACACAAGCCAAACTCAATGTACTTTACAGTGGTTTAAAAAATTAAAATATCAACAGAGCAGAAAACAAAGAAAAAATAAGAAGCGGTAACAGTGGTAAGTGCCCCCTGCCCTTATGGATCGTTGCATCGGCTGAGGAACAACTTCCAAGAAAAACCCTTAATAGGGTTAAAAAAAAAAGGAAAAAACCTCAGGGGGACAGACAGAGGAGGGGATCCTCACCCAGGACGGGGAGGTGGGCAGTAGAAAAACAATCTACCACATTTTTTTATAGTTCTAGTTTTCAATAGAGATGATACAGATGAGGCAGGAGTATGGAGGGGGTCCTGGATCCAGAAACAGCATCCATGGGGTCTAGGAGGGGAGGAAACACAGAGACCCCGAGGACCAGAGGGTCCCCGGGCCAGCATGTTAACCCAGTGCATTTGACGATGGTAATTAGAACAAGTAGAAACAAGACAAAAATAAAAAAATAAATACATAAATATTTACCCCACAAACATATGTAGGGTTTTGGCTGGGGGTAGGGGTTTAATCAAACGCAATATTAAAAAGAAAGATTTTTAGATTCATTTTGGCACTCCAGTTAGCAGACCATTCCAATAATCTAATCTGCTAGTTATAAATGCGTGAATTAATTTTTCAGAATCTAAACTTGAGAGAAAGCCTCTTAGTTTGAAAGTATTTTGAGATGGTAGAAAGCTGATCTAGTGATATGGTTTATATGGGAGAATTACACCCAGGTTTCTCGCTTCGGATGAACTGTCTAGTGATAGGGATTTCAGGTGTTCTGCAATTTTGTATCTTTGAGCCTGTGCACCAAAGATGAGTAATTCTGTTTTTTCTTTGTTAAGCTGTAAGAAATGATCAGACATCCATGTGTTGATGTTATCAATACACTGAAGGAGGGGGATAGTTCGTTAGGATATGGTGAAATGTAAAGTTGTCTGTCATCCGCATAATTATGATAATTTACATTATGTTTGCGCATCACTTCAGTAAGACTCCAACCTACTCCTACAGTTTTTGTTTTTTTTAATCTATTAACACAGCACATCTAGGCTTCAGTCTCAACTTAATGCAGGACATGTGGCCGTTAGCGTTAACATCAGAGCTAATGTTAGCTACAACGGTCAAGGTAGTTGAGGCAAACCGTGTAGTCCGCCACGGCAAAAATTCTGTGAATTAGCATGAATCTGTGACTGTAGTAGACAGATGAAAAGAGTTGTGTTGAATACTGTATATACATATATAGATATCACATAATGTTAATGACCATTTAAAAACAAATAGCAATCCCCTACATTTACCACCAGCGTACTTAAAACCATTCAAATCCACAGGGTCTGTTGTCCACAAGCAGCTTTTCACCACTCGAGGGCAGTAGTGTAAAATAGGTGACAGCAGCTTTAGTCTGGACAGACCATAGTCTACAGACTCCATGTTGCTACAGGTGTAGCAGGGCTAACTCAGGAGACCCCTCACTCTCTGCCTGCTGTGACCTGTTGACGTCGACAGACGCTTTGGGACAATTAAGTTCATGCTAGATGACTGATGAACAGTGTGTCCTGTGTGCTGTTTTAACAGCTCTGTTTACTTCTTAAAAATCAACCTTGTTTCAGCATCATTGAGTCTAAAAGCAAACATCTGCCCTCAGCAAACAACGCTGTTTATCCGTAACAATCACAAACAGTGTACGTAAATCTGTAATTGTTTGAAGCAGGTTGTTCTGGTAGTGCAGAGCATTGTGTGTTGTGGGTTCCAAGTACAGCTACACAAATTAAGACATCTAGTAATAAACAGGACATTTTTACAGCGTGTCCTGTTCAAGAGCAAGATGAAGGAACGAGAGTTGCTTTAATTTTGTTGACAAAAAGAACAGTAGCCAAAAACTCGCCCTTCATCTTGAGTACAAAGAGAGCATGCAGATAATGATGATGATTACACTCGATGCTCTGGCTACTGACAACATGTACGATATTGTGTGTTAATTGCGTTTTTTCGATTTCTGTCTGATGCAGCCTGTGAGACCACAGACAGGGTCCATGCATTACAAGATGAGGAGGGATTAGAGCACAGTGGGTTAATCTGTAGGCCTGCATGCCATCTGCCAGTATCATGAGAATTAAACCTGAAACCACAGTCCTGACCACGGGCAAATACCTGAGAAGTGACTACTCTCGGGACTCAAATGTGTTTCATAGAAAATAAAGTAAATGAGTCACTGTTTTTTAAAGTGACTGATATAAAACAGTTATTTAAATTTTCAGAATATTATCAGTTTCTGTTTTTCCCCCTCCCATGCCTTATCTGAGGACAATAAAGTCATGAAGTCTACTGTACTTTCAGCCGATCTGATTATACAGTGGATTTAGCTTCAGCTGCAGCATGCACTGTAAAAGGTTTATTCATGTGTATAAATCCTCTCACATGCAACATGTTTTTAATGGTGTGCACAGAAACAAAATAGGGCTTTTCTTATGTCAGTGGTGTATCTTTTTAAATAACCAAATAAACAAGGTTTATAAATCTTTGTTTTTCAGTATTAAGTATTTCAAAGACACCATTTGTATTACCTTATATGGCAGTATTTGGCTTTAGCAGATTTTTTTTTTTTGTTTTTGCTTATGTAAAGTTTAGTTTAGTTTTCAAACCTCTGCACCATGGTGATCTGAGGGTCACTGCATCCATCCATCATTTCATTGGAAGGCCATCTCAGTGTTCAATGATCTATAAAAAAGATAAAACTAAAGTTAATTAAAAATATTTTAGTTAAGGATAAACACTGTTTAATATTATATTGAAAACATATAGTACTTTTTCTATTTCTCTGTCAATTGTCAAACAAAGCATTTTAATGAATTGACTAACTGACGTTTCATTACAGATGCCAGAGGTTCCCGGGTCATAAGTGGATTTTGAGACCACTTCTCTACAAATCTTGGCCATAAATGTTACTTCCAACACAATATCAGATATTTCCATCCTCATCTTTATGCTGGCAGTATCAAATCTGAGCTTCTGATCATTGTACGGGACATGAGTAAGAATATAAAGCTGTCTCCCTCTGGTGGATCAGTGGATGAAGGAGCTCAGGTAACGGCAGGGGGCCCAGACGGAACTCTTAAGATGTCAGTGGATTAACATGTGAGCATACAGGCTGCTTTTAGCCTTCTCCAGTCACCTTCTCCTTATACACTGTAAGAGCTGCACCTGATGAGCACGTCTCCTGACAAACGGCGTCTTCATGGTGCAGTTTCACCACTTCATTCTTTAGGATGAAGAATGTAAAGATCTTCTATTTGCCACAGATTTTCGTCTTTGTGCACGCCTGCTTTGGTGAGTCTCATGTTGCCATTCTGTCCTTACAAAGAACTAATGATGTCATGGCGGTGATGTTGTTCAGACATAACGTTTTCATCAAGTTTTTTCCCAAGTAACTGAACAATCACTAAGTCAAGAATGGGTTCAAAAAGCATCTCTACTAATCAAGAATGGGTTCAAAAAGCATCTCTAGCTGTTGTCGCTAAATGTACTTGCTTAAAAAAATTAACTTACTTTTCTATTAGTTTCCATGTTTAACACTTTAAGGTAACAACAATTGAATTTGACTTCAGCAATTGTTTTGTAGAGCTAGCTAAAAAAGCTAAACAAATATTACATTACGCAGTACAGCGTACATTAGTATTGCCAGCTAACTTAGCTGCACAGGTTTATTTGCATCTCTAATCCCACTTACGTATCTAAATCCTGTTATCCTGTACTAGCATTAGCATTAGCTCTGGTCGTCAATTGTTATTTACTTTTTTACTGCCATTTTGTAAGTGACCTATCAATGAGATGAGTAAAGATTGTTAACATTCATCTGTAAAAATGCAGTCAAAATGGAAACAGTAAAAATAAAAAAATAAATAAATAAATATTGGTTGTTAATGACATGTGTCTCTGTTAGCGTCACACTTTGGTGACATCTACTGATTAAAAATAGCATGAAAAAATGTCCAAGTATTTCACTTTGCTCTGCGTTCTCAGCCCAGGCAGACTTTGCTCCCTACTTCTTCGACAACGGGCCCTACAGCCACAATGGGAACCTGGCCTTGTTCAGCTTATCAGAGGACACACCTGTTGGTGAGCCACGAATACTTGCATGTACTTTTAGCAGCTAACAGCCAGCTTAATTAAACGCTGCATGTGGGTTCACTGGACTGGAGAGTTCAGGATGTTAACTAGACTGGGATAGATGAACAGGTGTCGTGAAAGATGTTCCATACCCAGACTGAGACGCTGATCTGCTGCAGCCAACTGTTGACGTGTCCGTGCTGCAGCCGTCCCTCTGCTCCGTACATCAGTGTTTACCGAACAGAATCCATCTGAATGTAGAGCACATTTTCAGCCGATTAATCATTTATTATTATATATTTGACTACAGGTACACAGATCTACTGTCTCAACGGCACAGACCCTGAAGGTCAGGAGGTGAGGTACGGCCTATCCTTTGATCCTGGCTCCAGAGAGTACTTCAGGGTCGACCCCAAATCTGGAAACATAACTTTGGTGGAAAAGTTGGACAGAGAGGTAAAACATGCCAAAACACATGAGGATTTCTTATATTTAATTTGTTTTTTAATATAATAAAAACTGCTGTGGTGAAAAGGTTCATTCATCATGCCTCTGTTTTAAAGATTCAAATGTCTTTTTCTGCCAATTCGTCTCAGAATCAAGACTCGATCGATGTACTTGTCAGCATCACAGATGGTCAAAGCAAGGTACAGCATCATCATCATTCTTATCATCCTCACCTTCATCATCTTCACCATCAACATCCCCTCCTTCTCCCTCGTCATCTTCTTCTTCCTTTTTTTTAGGTTGTGGAAAGAGTTACTATATTTGTAATGGACGCCAATGATGAGAAGCCGGAATTTCAAAACGTGCCGGCATTTATTGATGCATCAGAAGTAAGTGAAGCAGAATGGATCAGAACACACAGTAGATCACCCCCCACGATGAGATGTTCTGAAAAGAGTTTTCTATAAAAAATAGATTTAAAAAATATATAATTTTCTTTATTTTTCTTAATTCTATTTATCCCAAAATCTTCTTGTTTTTTTTATTTCAAACCCTTTCTTATTTTTTTGAACACCAACCATCTGAGCTAATATTGAAACACTGCATCCAATAATTTCTAAAAAAAAACAAACTGTTATTAATATAATTTTCACTCTGCTCTCTCATATATTTATTCTGATTATTTATTGATATTTTATAATTAGCCTGTTATTAGCTTGTTATGCTATGACAAAACCTCAATGAACTTAACACCGCTACGGTGTTGTTCTGAATATTTTGACTAGCATTTTTGTTTTGTTACTACGGCTAAATCATAGACTTTTTTTTTAACCTCTGGCGACACAGAGAATCCTCAGCCAAAATGGTATTACCTCCTAAATCATCAACATGGAAAATCTCACATGTGCCTTTTCATGGCTGTTTTTAATCCACTTCTGTCCTATTTTTTCTTTTTTGTTGTTTTTGTGATGGACATTTCAGACAACAGAGTCAGGCAGCAGCATCTACAAAGTGGAGGCAGTGGACAGAGACACGGGCTCCGGAGGATCAGTCACCTTTTACCTCCAGGTACAAAATTATCACCAAATATTCACCCACTCTCCCATATCAACTGTGTCATTTCCAGATTATAAATTACAACAAATAATGCAGCACAGACATGTGACAGTGTATGCTAGTTTAAACTGGATCACTGAGTTAATCTGCACTAAATGCACCGTATAGATGCACAGATAATAAGGTTCAAATCCCTTTTTTTTTTATTTTCTAGTTTGCATGCTCGTGACTATGATACTGTAGTTATGACCATGGGGATTAAATGACAATTATAATTGAGTCAAGTGTTGGAAGATTAGAGGCCCTGCCTTGGCAGCGAATGTTGGGCTGCACTTTGGACTATTAGGAGTGGAGAGCAGCTGAGCTGAGCTGAGTGGTGAGGGAGGCAGCGCACATCTGGACGCATCAACTCTCACCTGCGTGACCTGTTTCTAAACATATGGCTTCTTTACATCCAGATGGACGGGTTAGGGTTGGGTTAGGCCATGACCATGAGGTCACTGAGTGGTTTTTAATGTAGCTGTCTCACCACTTCTTCATGTTGTCCCATGTCTGTGGTTGAGCTCGTTTTCTTCGTACCACCACCCCCCCCTCCTCCCCTCTCCCCTTCCCTCCTCCCCTCCTCCGCCTGTGTTACAGAATCCTCAGACGTCCATGTTTGCGGTTGACAGACACAGCGGCGTCGTTCGTATCAAATCCGGAGAGCAGTTGGACTATGAGAAAACAAAGACACACTTTGTCACTGTCATAGCAAAGGTGGGGAAGTGAAATTAAATGATGGCAATTTCAACACCGAAGTATCGCAGGTCTGCAACACCCGTTCACTTCCTGTCGCCAAGGGCACTGAACTAATATTTGATCTAAGACAATCTGGTGCCGTTTAATGACAGTGCGTCAGCATCGTCATTAAATGGCATGACTGAATCGTTAACCTGAAGTTTACTCTCTACGGCACACTGTGTCAAACTCAAGGCCCGGGGGCTAAATGCTGCCTGCCAAGTCATTTTTTGTGGCCCACAGGCACTTAAAAAAAATTGACTTACCTAAAAATAAAGTCCATGCTGCTGAATTTCTTAACCTGATAAATTAAGTTTTATATTATTATTACACAGAGCAATGTGCAATATTTGTGACACACAAACAAAATACAGCAATGGAATAACAAAAACACTTTCACTCTAACTTTATTTCTGTTTGAGTAAACAGTAGTTCGAGTGAAACATTAGATCAACTAAGAATTTTTAGTAATAAGAACCAACACAGACATTAAAGCAATTTATGAGTAAGTCTTATTGTAGCAGATATTTTTCTTTCCTTTAAGAGCAAAGAAAGAGCTTTTTTTTAAAAACAAAACAAAACATGAATTTAGAGAAGCAAACAAAAAGTAGATTAAAGTGAATGTTGCTCTATTTCAGGACGGAGGCGGTAATTTTAACGGCAAGGAGCAGTTTCTGTCATCATCTGCTACTCTGACCATCAATGTGATGGATGCACAAGACACTCCTCCAGTTTTTAGCGGGACACCATATTTCGGCTACATTTATGAGATCTCTCTGCCTGTGAGTATAGGAGACACCAGCGATGTTGTGTCTTTTTCTTCTTGTGTTTGTTTTTTGTTTGTGTGTTGAACTTTTTCTTTTTTTATGTCAACGTTTATGCATCAATGTGCAAATAAGACACAGCAAACACCAGCACATTACACCAGCTTAAATAGTTCACCACTGACCTTCACAGAAGGTCACACTGCTCTTTCATCACTTCAGTCCCCGCATTTCAAAGGTGTTATATCTTTGGAGAAAATAATTGTCACAGCAGTGTAAAGACGACACATCCTGATGATGGACTGATGAGAAACATGCCATTTGAACGCATCTTTGAGGAATGAGTAACAGAGCAAACAGAGTTAATGCATGACTCAACTTTGTTGATTTCTTTGAAACCTTGGGTTCATTTTTAAAGTGGACATCGGCTCTGAATCCTGATCACCTGCTCTATGCCTCGATTTTTTTAACTGTCTTTTTATTTTCTCTCTTCAGGGGTCAGAAATATTCACAGTTGTTGCCAAAGATGGTGACGTAGGAAATCCAAATCAGATTGAATATTCCTTTGACGATGGTAAGTTCCTGAAGGTCCATCCAAATCAAAATATTACATTATTATAATAATGATAGTTGTTTGTGAAATTAAGTGTATGTACACTACTGGGTTGGACTATTTAGAAAGAATTATTCATCTGTGTGTCTGCAGTCGATGAGGGCGTTTTTAGCATCAATAAAACAACTGGTTCCATCTACCTGCTGACTTCTCCGAGTAATCTGAGGAGAGAGAACTACGACATGAAAGTGCGGGTAAGTTCAGGACCACGTCCGCCCGTCACTCCAAAAACACTGGCCTGTATTTCACATGAAGCCTGAACAATCAGTCAGTGTAATGTAAGAGTACAATTTACAGCTTTTCACGTCTTCACCAAACATTTAAGTCTCAGGTATGAGTGTCATTTCCATCTCACCTGTGTCCAGGCGACAGAGGTAGATCCTGAGGGCAGACCCATGGACCACAGTGTAACTCCAGTGGTCATTCGTGTAGTGGACCTCAACAACAACCCACCGACGTTCTACGGAGAGAAGGGCCCACAGAACATGTTTGAGTTGACCATGTATGAACATCCGCCAGAGGGGGAGATGCTGAGAGGACTGAAAATAACCGTCAACGACTCTGATCGGGTACAAACAACATTATCTGATTCATTTGATTGAAATGCCAAATTTAATGGATTTTTTGACTGTAGAGATAATCAGCTTGACTTTAATTATTAATCTAATTAAGGAAATACAGTTAGGTCGCTGTAACAGTTCATACCCCCAGGGGTCACCACCAGTGGGGATAAAAACTGAGTCAAGTTTTTAAGGTGATGACTGACTCTGATATTTACCCGCTTATATAAGTATCACTGTGTGGCCAGATCATTGCATTAGCTTAATCCACATGAATGGTATTCAACAGATGACGACTGCAGTAATACTGTAATACTGCAGCCTGAGCACCACTGATATCTTTTTGATTACATCCCGGCAGCAACGCCTGGATTTATTGCTTTTATATTAATTAAAAAAATATTTTTTACATAGATTAGACTCATGTCCACTTGTGTCTGAGAGCTCAGGAATGAATTTAGATCACTATAAATAGGTCTGTCATATGTAACGCACCATTTTCACTTTGTCTGATGTGTGATTGCACCCCCTGCAGGGTGCGAACGCTAAGTTCAACCTAAGGCTCATTGGACCAGGGAGGATGCTGCGGGTCGTTCCTCAGACTGTGCTCAATGAGGCTCAGGTCACAATACTAGTAGAGGACTCTGCTGCCATGGACTATGAGAAATACCATTTCCTCACATACAAGGTAAAATTAAGTTCAATATTAGCAACAAACAATAAACACGCAGTTGAGGACAAATATTTAAGCCCACTAGAAAAATGTAAATATTTTTGTATGAATCTAGGGATTGGCATACAACACAAAGAACACCTAACCCACAGGGGACCACAGTTTTAGGAGTAGTGGGCCATTTAATGCCTAAAAAAAGGACTTATATTGACTAGAAAATACACAGGATATTTCTTGTCATCGAATAAGCTCCGTTTCTAAATCGTTCCTTTTACGCTGTTCTTCAGCTGTTAGCCATTGAAATCGATACTCCGGAGAGATTCAGTGCCACGGCCGACATCGTCGTCCATCTCCTGGACACCAATGACAACCCTCCCAAGTTCTCCTCGGATTATTACATTGCCAGAATTCCTGAAAATTCGCCCGGTGGCTCTAATGTGGTGTCCGTCACGGTGAGCGAGTCTTGTCTAAAGAAAATACTGTACTAATAATTCTAAGCCAAGAAAAGAAATGATTTGATTTTTAAAAACATTCCCAGAAGGCCATTAAAACTCCAAATATAGTACTTTTTTTTGGCTGTTGGAGGTTTTGATAATATGCCCAAACGTGCAGATAAAAGCTCCGAGGTAAGCTGCCAGATGGCTATCACTTTCATTTAGTTGTGTAACATCCAATTCACAATTTATTTCTAACATTAGAACAGGCGGTGTCATAATAATTACATAAACTCCAAGGACATCATGATATTTTTGAAATGTCACATGTCATTTCACATCAGCTCAAAGTCACAGGGACGCACACTGATAAATCCTGCGGAGCCTCGTTGCTCTGATCCTGGGCAATTTCAATCAGACTAAAGAAAAACAGCCGACAAGCGACCTTGTAGACAAGAAGGAGACAAATCCGATGTCCCTGCAGCCACAGACACACCATGACAGCCTTTTTATAGTCCGTCTCTGTGGCGTCATTTTTGATCCATTCATTTATGTTATTTCATGTTGACTGAGAGTAAAAAGAAAGAATTATGACCTGATGTTTTTGGTCTTCTCCATTGTTGTTTGCAGGCAGTAGATCCGGACTCTGGACAATGGGGTGAAGTTAAGTACTCCATCTATGGATCTGGAGCTGAACTGTGAGTATCAAAAATGACAAAGGCAAAGAAGGGATTTGACCCTAGTATCTCAGCTGTTACTGAAACGTTCTGCAGGTTTAATGAGTATCTTCAGCTTATATCCTTATTGTCCAAAAACACCTCAACATTATGGACAATTACAAAAAAAAATACCCCAATTTTTAGTATGCTCTTGTTAAAAAAACTGCATTAAGAAGTATTCTAAACTACACATCAATATTCAAGAGAGACTTGAACAGATTTTGTGCTATATTTTAATAATAAACTACAAAAATCACAAACCAACAACCACCGTCCACTGCTCCAGTACAAACCCATGTTGTCCTGATCCCTGCCTGCTCATCCTCTGGCCTGGCTAATCCCGTAATAGGATTGCAGGAGAAAATAGACTCGTCTTTGCTCTCGGACAAACTACCTACAACCTCACATTGTTGTCCTGAACTCATCCAAACTTGGGCTGTAAATATTTGGAACTGCGTTCCAGTTCTGCAGTGTCAACAGCTGAGAGCACCTTAAAGAAATCCCTTAGATTTTTAGAGTAAGATACAAAAAGTGTGCTGCCAAACCTGTTTATCTGAGGGCTGCAGATCTGAAAGATAAGAAATCTGACAATTGTCATCCATATAAGACTATTTTACTGTGTAATAATGAACTACATATAAATAACATAACACAATACAAATAGATAACTAAATAATATATATATTCTAAAAATAAACAGCACAGCTAATTCTTTATGAAGTGTAATGTAAACTCATGAATACATTACAATTTGAATGGATGTTTTCATCTACTAAGATCAGAATATTTCCTGGTAATGGTGTGCAATATAATTGATGACCACTAGGTAATGCTGATTAGCTCATTAAAAATGTTTCTTTTTGATTATTTTTATTGTTTCACTTCCAGATTTACTTCATCACTTTGTCTTTAAAACATATGTCTTTGTAAATATTGAACACTACATGGGAAGATGGATAAATGCTGTTTACTGCTGGATTCAAAAGCATGAGTTTAGAAAATAAAAATAATAATGATATTCCCACTTCAAGTTTTCTCATCCAGCCGACCTCTGGGATTATCTACACCCAGCCTTGGGCCCGTCTGGACGCTGAGGTCAGATCCAAGTACAATTTCTATGTAAAGGCAGAGGATGTGGACGGGAAGTACAGCTTGGCTGAAGTATTTGTGACGGTGCTGGACCTCAACGATCATCCGCCCGCTTTTAACAACAACTTCCTGGAGAAGACAATGGTCATTGGAGCACCAGTAAAGATTGAGGTAAGTTCTGTTATTTGTTTGACAACAACAAAAATCATGGCAGTTTCAGTGTCGTGACTAAACACCCGTGCATTCACACAGGCTGTGGATGACGACGCAGAGGTTCCCAACAACGTCATCGAGTACGCTATCATGAAAGCAGAGCCGGACAGCAATATCTTTGACATCAACCCTGACACTGGGGAGATCATGCTCAAGTCCTTCATCAAGTCCATGGCTGTTATTCAGAACATCACCAAGCAGAAAGATTTCACCTGGTCGCTGGTGGTGCAGGCCAGAGATCGAGGACAGCCGTCCTTCAGCACCACAGCAGTGGTCAAGATTGACATCACTGAAGCTGTAAGTTATGACATTTAAAAAAATGCGTCCAGTTTCTAAATACTATTTTTATTTACTGCAAGTTTTAGATTTTAGTTTGCACCTTTATTCAGTATCCACCGATATATTAGCTTTCGGTTCAACTAAACAGGCCCATGGTTTAAATTGAGAAAGTAAAACTACAAGAACTACTACACCTTTTTGATGTATTTGTTTCTAACGTAAAATATGTGCCATGGCTTAAAAAAGGTTGGAAGACACTGGTTCCAAGCTAAAAGAAAACAGTTAGACTATAAAAAATGCTCAAAATATCATTGCAGGTGTTATACAACATGATCCAATTTGTTACAAAGCACCAGTTGTTTTTTTAATGACTAATGCAGGGTGATGTTTACTGAGGAACCAGACCTTTGGATTTGCAGTAATGATATTTTGAACACGTTACATCGGCAAAAAAGTTCCTGGACACAGTCCTTCTACTATAAGCTACTCTATATTTTTTCACAGTTGAATTTTGAGTATTTGTTACTGTTCCTAAGGACACTGCTCCGTGTTTTTATCTTTATCTTTAAAACTACATTAGTGGTTGTTCTGGTCATAATGATCTTGACTAACCTCACCTTCAGCAGCGGTTTGTCATGTTAACAAATTTAAAAATTGTAATGAAACGCCCATAAATGTTGTTGTTTCCAGATCAAGTCTCGATTTTTCTCCTACTTCCTGGGCCTAAGGAAACGTCCAGAGACTGTGTTTTGGATTTTTCTGACCTTTGCCTCCTTTACCATTTCACTGACAATCATCTTTTCGACCATTATTTACTGGAACTCGGTGAAAAAGTCTCGTGTACAATCTCAGGGCAAGATCAGAAAGATTACAAGGAGGCCTGCCTATAAATGAAACTTGCCTTGGAGATAATCAGCACTGGCAGCAGCTGTCGTTTCGACGGCGACCTTTAGGGTAGAATACGACTGTGTCTGTAAAAGAGTACAAGAGCACAACGTATTGTATTATTGTCTTTTGCATATGAATTGATATTGTGTTTAATTGTCTTAATTCAGTGTGGATTAGTGAGGCTCTCTGATCTTGTCTTGATTATATTATATAATTATTATATCATAAAAAGATCCAATAATAACTGGATGAACAATTTGACTAAAACGGAAAAATTATATTTTTTCAATTTTTTTGCAGTAAATGCGGAATAATTAAAATATGCAGTATATTGTACCTCTCAGTTTGCAGTAAATGCGGAATAATGAAAATATGCAGTATATTGTACCTCTCAGTTATGTTTAACTATTATTTTTGTTTTAAGGTAGTTGTGTTTAATGAACTTTATATATATATATATATATATACACACATATATATGTGTATATATATGTGTATATATATATTATTTATGAGAGAGAGAGAGAGAGAGAGAATTTTGTATATATACAGGGCTAAATAACTATATAATATTTGTTTGACAAACATTCAGACCCATTCATCTGAATTCTCCCTGTGCTCTTTTACAGACCCAAGTCAAAAAGGGGCCTTTGGGACCATTTTTAATACAGAATAGAAACAGTCCTTTGCAAATCCTAGGCGTTCTCGCTGGGGTCATTATTCTCATGGTCTTAGTCACTGTCATCATCTCCACCGCAACTTTCATGCGCAACAAAAAGTCCAACCGCATCCTGCCCAACCGCCGGGTGAGGAGGAGACAGAGGACGCAAAGCCACTGGACCTTCAGAAACCCCTTCAAAGCAGCAGAAAATACAGGACAGAGTTTCAAAGTAGAGGAAGAAGAAGCTCAGGAGCCACGGGCCGACGTGGAGAACGTGAACTGTAACAACAACGTCAGCAATGTCGTCAGACACTGGCCTCCGCCGCCACCGCCTCCTCCGCCCTGTGCCCCGTCTCTGCCTCCTCCACTCCCACCGCCAACAGGACACAGGCCGTGGGCGGTGCCCACCGTCTCTGCCTCGGTGGCGGCCAAACAGAAAAAGAAGGCAGCGGTGGTGAGCAGAGAAGAAACGGTGAACAAAGCGTTGGTTTCAGAGCTGAAGCTGAGGCTGGAGCAGAAGAGGATCAAACACCAATAGTGCTTGTTGAGATGAGAGTGTGAACCACAGGTCCTCCTGGTTTCCTGGACCAGCAGATAAAGGAACTAATAAAGGAAATAATAAAGTCATGGGAATTGTTTTCATCATCATCAAAAAAGGGGCAAATAATAAAGTCATGGAAATTGTTTTCATCATCACCAAAAAAGGGGGTTTAAACACTGCAGTAAGTGAGAAAAGAACATTTCTGACAAGGTTTACAATCGGAAAAAAGGAATAAAATTGTTCACATTGCTTGTGTGAGTGTGTGTGTGTATGAGAGAGAGAGAGAGAGAGAGAGAGACAAACACATAAACAAGAATAGACATATAATGCCATTTTGTATTATGTTATTAATGAATGCATTAATTGCAGTAATTAACTCAGAATAAAATTTCTCAGAAATCTCAAAATCTCTCATGTGTTTGTGAAGCTTCACTTCCCTCAGAGCAGTCTCACATTTCTATATTATATGAGTGGAAAAATGTTTGTTTTCTAAAAGGTTGAATTGTCTGGATTAATCATGATTAATTGAACTGATTAATCCTCAGATACCCTGTGATTAAATAGATTTTAAAAAATGTAATCATTTGACAGCCACGTATATGATCTATTCTACCAATCACAGCCATCTTCATCAGTGATGTTCATGTCCTTCCTGCCTCACTCTCATAACGGACACAGTTAACTGTTGAGAAACCAGTGGCTTACCTTTCCTTAACCGAGCCCTCAGTTTCACGAGTGAAGTCATCCGGGTTTCAGTGAGCGAGACTCTTTGGGATTTGAGCAATCTTCTTACAGGAGATTTCAGGACACTTGAACCGACAAAACAGATCAACCTGGGGTGGGGGGGCATGAAGCAGAAAGATCACGTAAGAAGGACTTTTAATCCCACCGAGCAGGTGTAAAGCTCACCTCGGAGACTTGTTGTTCAGCTGCCGTGACATCTCTGCTTCCTGTTGACTGCTGTACATTATCTGCTTCCACTTTTTTCACTGTGCGACTAATAAATGTGCATATATGTATATATATATATACACATATATATATATATACACATATATATATATATACATACATATATGTATATATACTATATATACACTATATATATGTATATGTATATATACTATATATACACTATATATATGTATATGTATATATACATATATGTATGTATATATATATATATGTGTATATATATATATATGTATATGTATATATACTATATATACACTATATATATGTATATACATATATATGTATATACATATATACTCTATATATATATATAGAGTATATATGTATATACATATATATATAATTATATATGTATATACATATATACTCTATATATATATATAGAGTATATATGTATATATATGTATATACATATATAATTATATATGTATATACATATATAATTATATATGTATATACATATATATGTATATATACTATATATACACTATATATATGTATATGCATATATAGATATATATATAAACATCAGTTACTGCCAGCAACCGAACCGCTGATCTACTTCCTGTTTCCGCCATATTCCCCACCAAACTAGAACCACACACAAAAGGCCACAGGATGACATGATGTATGTGCCGTGTGTTAAAACAGCTCAAAGCCAGTGTTTGTAGAATCCATATTGTCATGTGTATGTGCAGGATGACAGAGGATTAGAACAAAAAGCAACATCAATCTCTAACACGCAAATCACATGAACGCATCTGAGCACGTAAGAAAGCAGATGTGCATGTGCGGCAGAAATGAGAGCTGCCAATCTCAGCCGGTCATTTAAACCGCTAAGTCAACAGTCCCTGCAGAGATGAAATGATCTCCCTGCGTCACAGGAGACGACACAGTGGGGGGCTGTGTTATCTGCTAATGTGACAGCAGGATGGGATGTGGTAGATGATGAGTTTTGGTATTATGTCAAATGAACAGTGCCATTGGTGGACATGTGTCCGTTCGACATTGAGAGAAGAGGGAGAACGGTGACGTACAGGCAGTGACGCAGGGAGGATTAAAATGTTTTTGTTTGTTTTTTCTGAACTACAGTAACTTAGTCTGATGGTTTAGGGCAGTGTTTTTCAACCTTTGGGTTGCAGACCCACATGGGGCTGCCTGGAACTCAAATATGGGACTGAAAAATAAAAAAAAAAGAAATGACTCACAGAATTTTCAAATATGGGACTGAAAAAAAAAAAAAAAAGAAATGACTCACAGAATTATTGTTATACTTCTTAAATTATGACTAAAAACATCACAATCTCAAATAGATGTATCATTTGACTATCATGGATATAAATGAAGTTCAAATAAGATGCAGCGTAAATGTGTTCACATTTTCTCAAACCCATAAAAATGATCCCAACACAAATGTGCAAAACAAATCACATTTGAGACAATCAGAACCATACAAAATATTGTGTGTTATACACAGAATTGCTTTTATTTTATTTCTGAATGCACTTTTAAAGTGAAGGTCCCAGAATCATTTCACAACAATTAATCACCAGTAAATATATTCACAACGTAAATACATTTAAATGACCTTTTCTTAGAAACTTATCAAAACCATTTCTTTGATGACATACATTCACTAGATCTGGTTCCATAAGTGGTAAACTGTATACATATAAATATATATATACATCTATATATCAAATAAGAAAAAAAAATTGGTGGTTTTAGTATCAACATTGTTTAAATTTTGGAGTTCAACTAAAGTCAGTATATCTTTGAGTAGAGTGAGAGTTCATTGTAAAACCCAGATCTGAACATTTTCTAACTGCACACTCACGACACTGTTGTAAATCCTGGACTTGGTTTAAACAGTCATCACTCACATCTTTGCATCAAAGTCCCTGAAACAGAGCACAGGACAAAACAAATCACAATCAAACCAAGGCAGTAAATTGAGAGGAAATATAATCGTTATAATTATGGCCGCACTTTTCCAGCTTCTTCAAATGACCAATAACAGTAAGCCTAGTATTTACACCTTCTAACATCAGAGCTACTGTATATGATGACGTTGACTAGAGTTCTCCTTCAACTACAGTCCCAGGTTCCTGCTTCCCTCAGTTGTAATCTAATATAATTCAGCTGTGATTCTGCTGTTCTCTGATTTACCCTTCAGCAGTTTGTCTTCTGACCTCCTCCGCAACTTCCTGTCATCACTGGACTCTTTGTTCACCAGGCCCTCGTCACTGGCGGCCTGCAGGCTGTCAAAGGTGCCCTGTCTCTCTCGCTCCATCTGCAGGGATCTGTCTTCTCTGCGCCGTTTCTTCCATTTCCTGATACCTTCCAGACAGGCAAATTTAGTGTCAGTGGTGCAGGCATACATTCCAATAGGCACCGCCAGAACCATGGCTAGAACTACCACCACTATATGAATCAGCTTTTCTCTCTGCTCCATCTCCGTGATGTCACTTCCTGTGACAAACACGATGCACTGGCCTGGACGCGGTGATTGATTCTTCAGAGACACACAGATTTCATATTTGGTAGCAGGGAGCAGATCGGCGACGGAGTACGACTGAATTCCAGGGCCGATGTAGATCATTTCTTTTTTGTCAGCATCTGCGCGGCCAAAGTGGACGGTGAACCAGGTTTCAGAAGGACGTTCCAGGGCCGCGTACCACTCGATGGAGATGCCACGCACTGTCTGTTTGGTGATTCGAATGTCAATGTAGACGTTCTCATCTACGGCAGTGTGCGTAGAACCCGGGGCGTGTGACAATGGGGTGTCGTCAGCAGAGGGGACATTAACCCAGATGCTTACGGAGGAGTTCCCAATGAAGTTGAGGGCAGTGCAGGTGTAGACGCCACGGTCGGCGGCCTGCAGGGAGGGGATCACCAGCAAGGATCTGATCGTGTCTTCGTTTACTCTTTCCTGCGACTCTGAAAAACGGCACAGGACATCTGTGTTTGTCAGGGTACATAAAAAATCAAAGCAACAGACTCAGTCCTGAAGTGTTTGTCAGTGGAAATGAAGCTATTAAGGTGTATTTTATTCTGAGTTAATACAGAACAAATGCAGCGGTGAAATACCTTCATATTCCTAAATGCTGAATAGCAAGTCATTCAATGTAATCTGCCATCATATGTAGTGAGCACATTTTTAAACACTGCAGGAGAACAGAACGGGAGAAACAACTGCTAAATGTGCATGACCTTTGAACCCTGATGCAATTTTGCATTTTGCCATGTTTTCTTGGTATTATAAGACCTGGGGTATAAATACCATTAAATTATACAATTTCTTCTTAAACAGTTCAAAGTAAAAATAATAGAAATATTCTTTTTAAAGAGAGAATTATTTTTTTCTAGATGATTAGATTTTTTTCAGCTTTTACCTATTGTTTATAGAGTTAATAAAATAGCTTTTCTCTAAACAAAGAATAAAAATTATTTTAGTATTAGAGAATTGTGCAACGAGGTTGATCGTAGTTTGCCTTTTATTTTCTGTCACTTTTTATCTCAGTAAAACACGCGCTTGTTACGAGAATATAAAATATAGGTCACTTGTCCGACCAGCGAAGCAGATGTTTACGTAATTATACAGTATCACTGGACGTCAGACATGAGGCGCATGTGCATAATCTCCAACAGTCTTAATCAACACTGATGGTGTTGCGCAGCTTGACACTCAGCTGCTGCTGCTGCAGTCAGCCAATATCAAGATTAAGTGCGATTTTCATCTGATAGAGAGGTTAGAAAGTCTGCGATTAAAATGTGCGCTTAAGTATCTAATTTACCGCAAGATACCGCCAGGGTGGATGTGTGAATGTGACTGTGTGTCAAACTCTTACCATGAAATCCTCTGATTATCTTCAGACCATATGTCCACCACACGGCGGGGTCTGGTCTAGCCTTGGCCAGGCAGCGCAGGGTGAGGTTGGTGCCCTGCGGCAGACTGACGTTGGCGGTCGGACTGCTGACCACGGGTTTCATGCACGCCTGCAGCTCCAGATCATGAAAGAACTTGCCCGCCCTAAAGTCCGGCCCTGAGCAGGTCAAGTAGGAGTTCATCAATATGATCGGGGGGCTTAGGGCTCTGATGAACTCCACAAAGCCTTTGAGGCGACAGTCGCACATCCAGGCGTTGTTGTGCAGCGCCAGGACTACGTTCGTCCCAAACGTGGTTGACTCTCGGTTTCCGTCCATGCTCTGTAGTTTTTGGTAGAGAGGCCAGTTTTGGAAAACCTCCTTTGATATAACCGTAAGCCTGTTGAAGGACAAATCTAAGTAGGTCAGATCTGGTAGGAATTTTAAGGCATGTTCCGGCAGGACGTCCAGCTGGTTGTGCTTCAGGTCCAGGATTTTCAGGAGCGGCGTGTCCTCGAACGCTGTCCATGGTACTGAACGCAGTTTGTTTCCCTGCAGTCGGAGCTCGGTTAGAGTCCCTAACCCCTCCAAGCTTTTAGAGTTTATGACTGTAATGTTGTTGAAGTTCAACCACAGGTTCTCCAAAAATGGTGTCTTCGAGAACGCCCGTCTGGGTATTTCTGTAAAATGCGAATTTTCTATTCGTATTTTGGTCATGTCCTCCGGAAGATTCTCAGGGATGGCTCCAAATGCGCCATCATCCATACACGTAATGGAACTATGTGACAAAAGGGAGAAAGTATAGGTTAGTTTTTTTTCTTTTAGGTCAATACACGTATATAACGTGAACAACAGCGAAGTGGAGGTCTTACCTTCCATGACGGTCTTTTACACAAGTGCAACCGCGTAAACACTGAGCGTCACTGTCACTCACTCGGACACTGAGCAGAACTATAACTAGAAGATAACAAAATATGTCCATAGTCCGTGAAAATTCACAAAGATAACGGAGGCATTCGTGCTCAGGACATGTGGAGCGACACAGAGAGGAGATTATTAGTCCTAATCCCCTAGACACCCACGTGCTGAAGTGAAGTGACACCTAATTCTTTGGAAAGACATGTCGCGGGATCAACACTTGGCCCCACGTGTCTGATCCACTATTTTCTGATTAGGTGCCACTTATTTAGAATTCATTCTCTCCCCTTTATCTGACTTTAATTACACAACTTCATTTTTCACACAAGCCCATTGTATTAAAGTCAAATAATCTTCATTTTCCACACAAGCCCATTGTATTAAAGTCAAAATAACTCTTTTTTTTGTTACTTTAATTCTAATCCCAGATGATGTCTTGTCTTTTTTAAAACTTGAAGTGCAAATTTGAATTTCTGTATTATTTCCATTGTTAAATCCACAAGATTACAGTTACATTTTGAACTTATTTCAACCTAAATCTCTGAATATTTGTTTTGCACTGATAATCTATGAGTAAAGATGTAATCACTGCATATAAATCAAACGTTTTTTAAATATAGAAAACAGATTAAAAACATAAATAGTATGAGCTTCCAACACATACAAATACAAACATCAATGGGTGTGTGGCTATGTATAAAGTTTTATTTAACTGTAAACACATTTTTATATATATATATATGTATATATAGACATATCTTTAAGCCTTACATTTAGTGGGGAAATTGTGCCTCTAGGTGGCACAATGCAGGTATATATGGGTATTTTATCATGGGTCTCACTGCTGGGTGAAGACACCACTGATGATTTCATCATATGCACCACACTATTTACACTATGTCGTAGCTCAGTCCTTTCAGTACTTCTCTCCAGCTCCAGCTTTTTCTCCATTGCTTCATTTTTATTGTCTCTGAGGAGGAAGTCAAACATCTGCAGAGAAACAGACTCTCAGAACTATTTGCCAATCTTACAAACACACACACCATCAAAGGTTTTTTACTTGCTAATGTAATGTGCGTATAAACTGTTGGGATTTACTTAGATATCGTTGCTTTTTGTCTTCTCTAAACTGATATTTCCATGATTGTACAGCGTGCAATGGTCCTTTGATAAAAGTTAGCTCTCTGTAGTGGAGGAGTTGGTGGTGTTACCCAGCGTGGAGGAACAGGTGGAGGTGATTCCCAGGGTGGGGATGTGTGAGCATGGTGAGTTGGAGGGGCACTAACCTGGGGGTTGGGTTGAGGATGAGAGTAGGGCTGGTGTTGGGAATAGGGAGGTGAGCGGAGATCAGGGAGAGGCTGGGAGGAACGCTGGGTTTGTGGATAGTTATTGGCTTCTGGATGTGAATGAGGGTGAGTGCGAGGAAGATGTTGTGATGCCTGAGCCGGAGCTGGAGCGTAACGTCAGCAGAAGTACTCGTTAGGCTGTCCTTCTATTTTAGCAGTGGCCTCGGAATCCAGGCTGGAACGGGGCGACAGCAGCCTGTTGGACTCCTCTGGATTCAGTTTGTTCAAATACTCGCCCTCCAGCCCCTTGGCCTTCGTAGCAGGCGACAGTGTTTCAAAAGTCACATATGAGTCTTGGATGTCCTTGGATTTCTTTCCCCAGTACTTCTGAATTCGTCTTTTCAGCGCCCCGCAGCACACGATGACGGTTAGAGGAACAGCGATGACACAGGCCACTGATATCACTATCACATTGATCAGCTTCTGGGTGCCTGTAGCACTAGCAGCTTCATCAGTGGAAAATATGACACATTGTTCTTTCTTGGGAATCAGCCCCTTCACACAGACACAGGCGATGTACTTGGTCCTGGGCACCAGGCCGTCGATGGTCACACGCGTCTGCCCAGCTCCGACGTTGATCTTCCTCATGTCCCGTTCTCCAAACACAGCGTACAACACACTAAACGCCGTGGTGTTCTTGGCTTTAGGAGCTCTCCAGTTCAGAGAAATGGTGTTGTCCGTGTCTCCCACCACCTTCACGGAGCGCACCACCCTGTCTGGATCCTGCTGCAGTGACGAGGCGTTGGCCGCCAGGCTGCTAAGGTTTGTCTTCTCTAGTTCTAGCAGAGATTCCAGGTTGGAGGAGGAGACGGGCCCTGGGGTGACTTTGTCAGGCACACTGTAGCCTACCACTTCAGTCTCAGCACCCAGGACAGGTGGAAAACCCAGATTCAGAGAAGAGAGAGGTGGAGCTGTGGAGGTCGGAGCCACATATCTGGCCACCAGTTTTTCCTGGAAGGCCGCTTTGGCCGTCTGATCTTGTTCGACCTTTGCTCTCTTGTCGTTGCTTTGTTGCTTAGACGAGTTAGCCACAATGAGAGTAATGACAG